GAACTCATAGTCATTCTATAATTGAGGGGAAAGCATGTATGGTGGCACTGTACAATGCTGTGGATCCAAAATTTGGACATGAGGTTCTCGCTGGCCTCAATAAAGAGAAATAGATGGATGTCATCAAAGATGAGATAGAGTCTATGAGGACAAAACCAAAATTGGAACTTAGTGGACCTTCTGACTTGGCACGAGGCTATTAGGAACAAGTGAGCTCTAAAAGTTAAGCAAATATTGGATGGTTCTATTGATAGGTATAAAGCATAACTTGTGGTGGAATCATACACTCAGCGAGAGGAGTAGACTATATGGAAATTTTCCGTTATGATGAAGTTTTTATCGATTTACACAATATTGGTGTTGGTCACTCTCACAGGTTTAGAATTTCTCAAGATGGATGTTAAGAATATATTTCTCTATGTAGAACTAGAGAAGAAGATATTTATCGAACAACGGAAGGGGTTTGTATCAAAAGATCTTGAGGGTAAAGTCTACAGGCTATAAAAGGTCTATATATAGATTGAAACAATCGTATAGGCATCGAAATATGAGATTTTATTGAGCCATTATTTAGTTTGGGTTCATGATGGTCGAAGATGATCACCGCATGTATATAAAATAATCCTTGAGAAACTTTCTAATCATGAACTTGTACGTGTCTACTATACATCAACTGGTTAAATCATCAATTAAGCCTTGGATGTCATTCAAAATTAAAAAGGAATGGTAATAGATTAAATATATCACAGTTTGATGCATGTAATCGTGTGTAGTTGCGCTGATATTTCTTTACTACCCATAGCTCAATGCACGCCTATAGCTCAACTATCCTTGGGGCATTGAGCTACAATAGAAGGGTGATGTGAATTTGAATGGTACACAACATTATTTCTTATGCTATAGACACTCAAAATTGTGATTAAGAGGATATATAAATGATGAAGTAATGGTTAGCTTTTATGATATTCAAGCTTTTCTATATTTCATTGTGAAAGTTAGAAGATGTTATAAGATATTATTTGTTTAAATAAATAATGAGCAAATTAATTGAAGATGTTCAAACAGGTTAAGAAACTGGCTCACTCATGCAAGCAGTCGCCTTTGACGCCATACCGAGTGAGCAAAGATCAGATTGCAACGAGAACATCATGAGTTGTGCTAATGATGAGCCATATTCGTGGATGAGCTGTATCACATTGATTGAGAATTGAGATGTGGACCATTCTTGAGAATGATCAACTCGATGAATAATCCAGGTTTGTTACAACCTATATATTCAAAAACTAGATGTGTTTGCACTTCATTTAGGTGTGATGGTATGCTTGCTAAGTGGGAGACAGAAAGGCTTTAGTGTGATAGACTCACAGATTAGGTCAAGTGCATAATGTAAAGATGAACGTACTCCATAGAAGCTTTACTCCATCATGGCACTTGATCCTGTTGGCTTTCTAATAGGATCGGCCTGAATCAGATCTGAAACTGAATTTGAGAAAATCTGTAATTACTGTAGCAACCGAACCTGCAGTTTTTTTCAGAGAACCGAACAGCAAGCACACACCTGAACCTGGGATGATTGAACAAAAAACTGCAGAAACAAAACAGTGCCTTTCTTTTGTTCGGCTAATACAAAACAGAGAGAGAGAGCCTTTTGATTTTCGGTGGTGGAATTCCCCTTGTTTCTTTCTTATTTTCGTTCTAACAAAAGATCATCAATTGTTTACATATATATAGGATTAAGATTGCAATTCTAATCTTATCCAATAACTAGAAACCTATCTACTAACTAGTATTCTACTCTAATTAGAATTCTACTAACTAACAAATCTTGGACTGATTACAACTCACATTCTCCCCCTTAATCTGGACGAGATTCCAAGTCCCTTACACCTAGCAGCTCTCGCATCTCGATGAACTTCACCCTTGCTAGTGCCTTCGTGAGAATATCCGCTCGCTGCTCGCTCGTGCTTACGAACTCCACTTTAATCTGTCCTCGCTCAACACACTCACGAATGAAGTGAAAGCGTGTGTCGATATGCTTGCTTCTTCCATGGAAAACTGGATTTTTCATTAAGGCAATCACGGATTTGTTGTCAACGAAGAGTGTGACCGGCTTAGGCTCACTCCCAATCACCTCACTGATTAAACTCCTCATCCACAAGCCTTGGCACGCTGCTGCAGTTGCCGCCATAAATTCTGCCTCGCAGGATGATAATGCCACCGTCTTCTGCTTCTGTGATGTCCAAGTGACCAAACTGTCACCTAGATAAAATGCCATGCCGCCTGTGCTGCGCCTGTCATCAACATCTCCCGCAAGATCACTGTCAGTGAATCCCACCAACTCTTCATTGCCTCGACCTCGTTTGTACACCAATCCGTAGGACATAGTACCCTTCACGTACCTCAAAATATGCTTGACAACCTGATGATGCAAAACTGTAGGGTGCTCCATGTACCTACTCACAATCCCCACGGCATATGTGATATCGGGTCGGGTGTGAGTTAGATACCTCAAAGATCCGATAATGCGTCTATACTCCGTCACGTCCACCGGTGTTCCTTCAGAATCCTTTCCAAGTTTTAGCTTTGTTTCCATAGGATATTGCGTCGGGTTGCAATCCATCATGCCGAACTGACCCAAAACCTTCTTCGCATAGGCCGCCTGCCTTAGTGCAATACAATCATCTCGCTGATCCACCTCGATGCCAAGATAATAAGAAAGTAAACCAAGGTCACTCATCTCGAACTCCTTCATCATTTGTTTGAAAATTTTTATCTCATCCGCCCTCGAGCCCGTAACGATCAAGTCATCTACGTACACGCCAACAATGAGTGTATCCCCTCTGTTACTCCTTGTGTATACCGCCTGCTCCTGAGTGCATCTTGCAAATCCGATGCCCTTCATGCACTTGTCGAGGCGCGTGTTCCATGCCCGAGGTGCTTGGCGTAGACCGTAGAGTGCCTTTGAAAGCTTGTAGACCTTGTGCTCTTGATTCTTCACAACGAACCCTTCAGGTTGAACCACATAAACTTCTTCCTGGAGATCACCATTTAGGAATGCCGACTTCACATCCAAATGGTGCACCTCCCACCCGTTCTGTGCTGATATAGCGAGGATTATTCTGATGGTATCAAGCCTCGCCACAGGTGCAAACACCTCATCAAAGTCCACGCCTTGCTGCTGGACGTACCCTTTTGCTACAAGTCTTGCTTTGTGCTTGAGAATGTTGCCTTCATTGTCTTTCTTCAGTTTGTACACCCATTTGAGACCAATGGGTTTGGAACCTCGCGGTAGCTCCGTGAGTATCCAAGTCTTGTTCTTCTCGATGGCCTCCATTTCCTTCTCCATAGCTATCCGCCATTCTTGATCTGATGCGGCCTCGAGATAGTTCGCAGGTTCTTCAGAAATCAGGAACAATTCCTCTGCAGGAAGATCGATCATCTCCGTCTCCGCATAGATGTCCGCAAGGGATCGGTAGCGTACAGGAGTCATCACTGCAGCTTCAGGGGGTCCGAACGCGTCCAAGGACTGTCTCGGCCAGCTGCAGGTGGTTTTGTTCGGTCTGAAAACTGCCCAGATTGGCCTCTCGTCGGCTCCAATACGGCGGGGATCGTTGCTGCAATTACTGTACTCGGACCAGCACCAATTTGTGGGCTGTTCTGGCCGGCTGCTGGCAGTCCAAACTGGACTTTCTGCTGTCCAGAAAACCGGACTGCCTGCTGTCCAGTTTGGACTGCAGGCGATGCACCGGCTGCTGCGCCGGCTGCTGTGCCGCCCGCTGTTGAGTCCCCTTCCGCTGCGAACTCTACCCAGCTGAGTGGTTCTACGTCTCCATCTGCGCTCCATTGCCATTCTTTTCCTTCCTCGAACACGACATCCCTGCTGACATGAATTCTGCCGTGTTGAGGGTCGTAGAGGCGATGTGCTTTGCTTCCTTCTTCTACCCCAATATACACCATTGGCGTGCTTCGGTCATCGAGTTTCTTGTGCGAAGGACCTGCAATCTTCACATGCGCCATACATCCAAAAACTCTCAAGTGTTCTAGGTGGGGTTTCTTACCAAACCAAGCTTCGTAGGGTGTGTGGTCGTGCAATGCCTTGGTTGGTAGTCGGTTGAGTATGTACACCGCGTGTCTAACCGCTTCGCCCCACATCGTTCCGGGCATATGCATGCTTTTAACTAAGCTTCTCGCCATGTCCATCACCGTGCGATTACGCCTCTCCACTACACCGTTTTGCTGCGGGGTGTACGGTGCAGTGAGATGACGTTTGATGCCGTAGTCTTCACACAGTTTTGTGAACTCCTTTGACAAGAATTCGCCACCACGATCCGTCCTCAATGTCTTCACCTTGTGGTCACACGCGTTCTCAACCTCTGTTTTGAACTTCTTGAAGGTTTCACAAGCTTGACTCTTGGCCTTCAACATGTATACCCACATCCATCGACTGAAATCATCAACGATAAGAAGGAAGTAGTTATTCCCAGCAAGTGTAGATGGGGTGATAGGACCACATAGGTCAGCGTGTAGTAACTCCAGCAGCTTCTGAGCTCTGAAATTTGCTTGCGAAGGGAACGGCAGTCTTGCTTGCTTGGCGACAAGGCATCCTTCGCATAGTTGATTCGGGTGCAAGATCTTCGGCAATCCGGAAGCCATCCTCTTATCAGTCATCATCTTGAGGGCGAAGAAATTGACATGCCCAAGGCGAGCATGCCATAACCAAGCTGGATCGTTAATGTTCGCCATCAAGCACGCCGGCTTACAAGTCTTTAACTCTATCCTGTACAATCGGTTAGTTGAACGTGTCACCCTCATCAAGAGAGCACCGTTCCTATCAAACACCCTCAGGAACTCACCAGAAATCACAACGTTGCTTCCATCTTCAGTCATCTGACCAAGGCTAATAATGTTAGATTTCAAACTTGGAATATAATATACCTCAGGTAGTAGCCTTTGATCGCCGTTGTTGCACTGAAAGAGGATAGAGCCTTTCCCCTTGATCTCTACCGCGGATCCATCACCAAACTTGACGGTTCCCTTGATGTTCTCGTCAAGCTCCCGTATACTCCGCAATTGAAGCATTTGATGTTGGATTTGTCTCGACCACCGCTTGTGCTACTCTCCCCCTCCTGGCGAGCTGCACCTCCATGGCCGAAACCACCTCCTGGACGTCCTCCTCTGCCGCCGAAGCCGCCTCGGCCTGCCTGGCCGCCGTGCTCCCCTCCGCGGCCTGCTTGGGCAGCGTGGTGCTGCTGCCCGCTGCCGTGGTGCTGCTGTCCGCCTCGGCCTCTTTGGCCACGGCCACGCCCACGACCGGCCCCGCGACCTCGTCCTCGACCGCTGCCATCATTGGTTGTAGGTGTTGAGAGGAAGCCTCCGCCGTTCTTCTTGCTCCTTGCTTGCCACTCCGCATGCGTCAACAATAGGTGATCGTCGACGTTGTTTCGAAAAACACGTGCCCTCTCCTCGTGGGCTTTGAGGCGCCCGATCGCCTCCTCGAGTGTCATGTCGTCGATGTCCCCGAACTGTTCAATCGTGGAGACGATAGTAAGGAATCTCTCCGGTACCGCCCGAAGTAGCTTTCTGACGACGTAGTTCTCCTCCATCTCGCCGCCTAAAGCCCGGATCTTGTTGACGACTCCTGTCAACTTCGTCGAAAAATCGTCGACGTTGTCATTCTCCTTCATCCGGAGAAGTTCGAACTCGGACTTCAAGGTCTGCACCTTCGCGTTCCTCACACGATCCGCTCCTAGATGCATTGTTTTCAACGTCTCCCACGCCTCTTTCGCCGTTTGCTTCTCTGCGATCACCATCAAAGTCTCTTCAGGAATCCCCTGGTAGATAGCCGCCAACGCCATCTGATCCTTCCTGTGTTCCACGGACGCGCCTGCCGCGGGCTCAATGGCATCCCACACGTCTTGAGCCTTCATGTAGACTTTCATCTTGATCGCCCACGAAGCATAGTTGTCCCTCGATAACGTCGGGTATTGAAGAGTGAGCGAACCCACCTTGGTCGTCATCTTCTCCGAACTCGTCATCTCTTCAGATCTTGGTTGGTACTTAGGCATACACCGCTCTGATACCACTTGTTGGCTTTCTAATAGGATCGGCCTGAATCAGATCTGAAACTGAATTTGAGAAAATCTGTAATTACTGTAGCAACCGAACCTGCAGTTTTTTTCAGAGAACCGAACAGCAAGCACACACCTGAACCTGGGATGATTGAACAAAAAACTGCAGAAACAAAACAGTGCCTTTCTTTTGTTCGGCTAATACAAAACAGAGAGAGAGAGAGAGCCTTTTGATTTTCGGTGGTGGAATTCCCCTTGTTTCTTTCTTATTTTCGTTCTAACAAAAGATCATCAATTGTTTACATATATATAGGATTAAGATTGCAATTCTAATCTTATCCAATAACTAGAAACCTATCTACTAACTAGTATTCTACTCTAATTAGAATTCTACTAACTAACAAATCTTGGACTGATTACAACTCACAGATCCGACCATGTGTGTTAAATGACTTGTATGATTTTCAGGAAGTCTAATGGATCCCTTCTTTTCTACCATGTGAAGCCAAAATCACGTAAGAGCATATTATCTGTTGGCGCAGTGTTTCTACTTTGACTTTTCACCTATGATTTTGATAGATTCGGCTTAAAGGAAGGTGTCATTGGAAGAGCAGCTATTCTTAGATTGAATCAGTAGTAGTGTATGAGGAAGAACTGAGGCGTCTACTTTAGTAATGAGTCTGCATCTGGAGCTTTGTTTTTGAATTAGTGTACATCTTCCCAAACAGTTTTAGGGTAGTCAAGTTCTTTTCCAAAGAGTGATTAGAAGATACTCGGATTAAAGATGAGTTTTAAGTTGGAATTAGGTATAAGAGGGTCCAACTATACTTTTTTCTCAGAGGATTCAATGTCTTTGTGATTGCTCTTTACAAGGGTTCATAATATAAAGCTTGCTGCTTGTAGGTAGTCCAAATGGTTGCACAAGCAATCGTATGTCCTTGCGATCTATAGAGCATTGCAGCCCATTTTTCGATCAAGTGGGAGTATATTAGTGTTTTGGTGCCATTTATGGCTGCAATATCAAAATCATTTGATATTATTGTTATAATGGGGGTTGGGATAGGATTAAGGGGGCTAGTGAGGTCTCAGATTATTAGCATTTATAGGGATTTGGTGACTAATTGAATGGTCTTATCCCTTGCTGGAAGTTCTCATTATAACTAGAGGTGGGAGACTTCATGTCTCACACATCGATACTCAAATAAGCTTCATATGTTTCATCGATATTCAAATTGGTTATAGGCTTGAGAGGAATTCATCAGGGGTGGTTGTCTGCATAGTGGATAGCATGGTAGAGTCTCCTCTGTTGTACTTTCCTCTACCTATCGAGACTTGAGATGAATATTGCCAGTTGCTTATTGGAGCACGGATCCGAGGTATAATTCTCCCTACTATTTTCAGATGAACCCATGTATGCCATTCAAGCTTCATATCTGAGGTATGTACTACAATTTCAATTGGTAAATAAAGACTTTCAGTTATCACAAAAAAAGAAAAAAGATATGAAGAGTTAGAAAAGAAACAAGTTTGTATCCCAATGGCTCCTGGCCTTGAACTCATTCCTCTGCCTGTCTACCATCACCAAATATCCTTGCTAAATCAAAACCAATAGAATTCCATGTACTAGTATGTGCATTTGTTATGCCACAAATATTTTTTATGCTACGATATTATCCATACATGATGTGTTCTCATCTGACTAGCATTAGAGTGGAAAAGAGCTATTTGCAAGACGCCATCTCTCTCTTAAGGAGCACCCCGGAATATGATCCCCCTCAGATGGATCAAAATAAATCAACTCGGGATCAAGACACCTACTAAAGTGCTAAACAGACGCATGATCAAGGAACCGAAAACTATTCTCTAGAGAACTCCTCTGTCAAAGACCGTTCGCTGCTGAGAATACGCTATCACACGTGCCAGCCATCTGCTGTCTCACCTTTTTAAGGACTAAAGGACATCAATAGTAGAATAAACCCTGAACCATATAATTTTCTGTAAAGGCTGTTTGGTTCAGCCAAAAAAAGTTGGAAATGTCACGATCCTAATTTCCGAATCTAAGAGGAATATTGGAGCCAGGCTAAACCTGTGAAAAGTCCTCTAAAAATATACATTCATCAAAAGACTATAAAAATAATCTCTATAATCCCAAAAGTCAGCATTAATCCAATTAATTTGGTATAAACAAATAATTCTCAATTTGAAATAAAACTCGACCTAAAGGAAAGAATCTCACTATTACAAAACTTTCAAATTATCAACTAATAATCAAAGACTTTATTTAACCTTCACCTAGATCTCACTATTACAAAACTTCAAATTATCAACTAATAATCAAAGACTTTATTTAACATTCACCTAGAAGACAATAACAATCTCGAATTTTATTCATTGCTCCATTCTAATAATTTGAAAATCATTAATTTCACCTAATCCCGAGTCTCTGAAAAGAATGAAAACAACACAATGATTTAACAACTCAATAAGTGGATAAATTCATACATTAAACACTGGTTTTGCAAGACTAAAACAGATTGACTTGATAAGCAAAATACTAAAATAGTAGAAAATATAATGTAACATTTTTAAAATATATACATGCAATGGAAATAAGCAGATCACGTCTTAATATGGTCAACACTTCAATACTCTGGTTGACTTGGCAAACCTCACAATTATATAGTCGTGGTTAGGACGGTGAGACCCAAACTTTTGCTCTTTAGCTCTAAAATAAAAACTTCATAGAGGTACATTGAGCCCTGTATAGATGACTTACTTACCCCCAACATATACCAGTATATTGATTTGAGATGAATATGCTTTAAGAAAAATAAACAAAGTTTATATAGAAAAATACTATTTAAAGAATTGCCAAAAGACAACCAATAGTAAAATTAAGCAATCACATATGCATCTCAACTTACTAGACACGATTGTCAACAAAGAAATAAGCATACACTTATACCAACATATTTGCTTGCATCACAAAGTACAATTTTGCCAACAACTGATATATGAATGAATCATACAAAATGACATAACCCATTAGGAACAAATCCACATATACTTACTATCATTTTGTAGGAAAAATACACTATGCACAATGCATAAATTTACCACTTACTCAAACATGAAAGACTATTGGAATACCAGTTGTGACGCCTCTTCGAAATCACTTAGGATTCCTACATAATATATACAAATAACTATAGGCGTCAAAAATTACATGTAGGTCCCAAACATAATTCAAGACAGAGAGAAGACGAAGAACGTCATCATCTAGGTCAGAGAGGACTAGCCAAAGCAAAGTGTTTGTTGGAAAATTTGTAATAAGAAGAAAACTAATAGAATTGAATGTTTTATTCTCTCTAATTCAATTACAATTTGATTTCCTGATTACAAAAGAGAAGAAGATCGACGGAGATCCTCCCCTTTATTTAATTCTGGGTTCTTCACGGTGGTGATGAGATGCCTCCCTCGAATGTTCGCGTTGAGTTTGCTTCTCGTTGACGATCCGAACGTCTTATTTCACTAGAACGTGGTCTTCTCCTCACGATTTGATGCTATGGAGAACTTGCATGGTAAGTTTGAAAGAACTCTTGATGAGTTGATAACTCTGAATGAGTTTGAAACTCTATGAAAGAGTTGATTTAACCAAAATCGGTTTGTAAGCTAAGGATGAAGAAAGTTCCTGTTGCCGATCTCCAAAGCTCCAACAATTCCCCAAAAAGCCAGTCGATCCAGAGAGAGAGAGAGAGAGAGAGAGAGAGAGAGAGAGAGAGATAGAGCTCTAAACTCAGTTGAGTTTACTCCTATTTATAGGGGAATTAAGGGGTGTAACTGTCCCCTTAATCCGCTCCTAAGTGGGGTGGAAATCCCTCCAATCGTGGGGGGAAACAGTTTTTAGAACCGTTCAGCTCGAGCTTGAACGAGCCAAACGCCAAAAATAACGTTTTAGGCCCGAACTTTGCGTTTTAGACCTGAAACGCAGAGTTGGGCATTTTTAGTTGGCTCAAAACGTAGTGGTCGCACCGCTCTTTGAACTGGGAACGCAATAGTGAACCCTGTGTTTTGAATCTGGAGCGCGGGCATGAGCCCTGTGTTTTGAGTTTGGAATGTGGGCATGATCCCTGCGTTTTGAGTCTGGAACGTGGGCATGACCTCTGCATTTTGAGTCTGGAACATGGGCATGACCTCTGCGTTTTGACTCTGGAACGCGGGCATGACCTCTACATTTTGACTCTGGAACGCGGGCATGATCTCTACGTTTTGAGTCTGGAACATGGGCATGGGTCCTGCGTTTTGACTCTGGAACACAGAGGCGAGGCTCAGGTGAGCTTGGCGAGCTTCAGGCTAAGTCTAATATTCAGGCAAAGTCCAGTATTACAGAGGACTTCAGAACATAACTTGTTGCGAAGAACAAGTCATAACTTTCAAACCATAAGTCAGAATTGGACAAACTATTTTCGTCAAAAGTATTCTTCATTATTGAATTCATTACAACTTTGATCGTTTACAATGAATTCAAACAACAACAACAAATATTATAATTTTCTAGAAAATAAACATAAGAACTGTTTATCAACTCTTGCTTGCGTGGGGTCTTCGCTTGTGTCGGGATGTTGATATCCATGGACGACAGCGGATCAGATTTGGTTGCCGAAAAATTAACAAAGCTCCTACTTTACTAATAAAGTATTCGCTTGAAGCATTGAAATCGACCAAGTGAAATCAGTAGCTCTTCTCGAGATTAAGATCAAGCCTAATCTCAAGGATGGATGGGGGGAAATACGGGTTCAGATCCTTCGAAAGCCTTCCTCTTTATGCTGAAGTTCACCGGGATCTGACTTACCTTCACTGTAAATTCGTACTCCTTTGAATCCTCAATCCAGTAGCACCTCGCCATCTTGATAAAATTCTGCCCCGCCCCCGTGAAATGAGCCCTATGCCTATATTTATAGGCTTTG